CTTCCTTCCTTCCTTCCTTCCTTCCTTCCTTCCTTCCTTCCTTCCTTTTTTTCTTTCTTTCTTTCAGTTTAAAAAAATTTATTTATTTTAGAGAGAGCACGAGCCGAAGAGAGGGGTGGAGAGAGAGAGAGAGAGAGAGAGAGAAAATGAATCTTAAGCTGGCTCCATGCTCCATGTGGAGCCCAGTGCAGGGCTCAATCCCATGACCTTGGGATCATGACCTGAGCTGAAATCAAGAGCTGGACGCTCAACCAATTGAGCCCCCCATGTGTCCCTGGTCTGCAAATTTCTTGTCTGTAAAATCAAAATGAGGGAAGGGCAGACATGGTTCAAGATTTCTCATAACTTTGGCATTTTATGGTTTTCAGAAACTCTAGTTCTCTTGGCATACTAGAAATAGAGAAGTCACAGTAGAGAAAACAGCCCAGGTTATCTTAATGTGAGTTCCCCATGGCAGAGGGGAGGAATTAAGTTTGGCTTTTATTTCATGATTCAAGTGAAATTTATAAAGCTTATTGAGAGCTTGCTATATGCTAGGCAGGTGTGCTAAGCAATTTATTATTGTCTTTTTTTAAGTTTATTTATTTATCTTGAGAGAGAAAGTGCACAAGCAGGGGAGGGGCAAAGAGAGAGAATCCCGAACATGTTCCATGCTGTCTGTCAGTACAGAGCCCGACGCAGGGCTCTATCCCACGGACCGTGAGATCATGATCTGAGCTAAGACCAAGAGTTGGATGCTCAACTGACCAAGCCAGCCAGGCGCCCCTGTTATTTCTCGTCTTACAGCAATTCTGTCAGGGATTGTTATTCCCACGTGGTAGGTAACTTACTTATCAGATAATCATTGGCCACCCTCGGATTTGAATCCACCCAGATCTGCCTGACTCCAAAGCTTTTGCTCTTAATTACCATCCTATTCTGTGAGCTGATGATGCTCTTTTTGTTCTAATGGCATGATTCAGAGAGTAAACTCCGTTCCCTCGCTTTGTCACCCTCTAGGGAGAAAACCAAAGTTGCCAAAGTTAGCCAAGGAGTAGAAGATGGACCTGATACCAAGAGGGCAAAACTTGATTCATCTGAAACAACTATGGTCAAAAAGGTATGTGTACTGTGAAGGGATCAAAGCTCAGAAACTTTGGAGCCTTGTAGGGGACGGGCAATTACATCTGCAAGCAGGGGAAGCACGCGTGTAGTCTTGAAGGGGGAGGTGGGGTCTGGACAAGCCGGGCCAGTGCTCGTCCCACTTAAAGGGGATGACTGCTGCTTAGTGGCAGCCAGCTCTTGCCATGAAGACGAGTAGGGACCCAGTGATGCAGGGTATGAATTTTTAACAGAATTGGAGATGTGTTTTTTGTAGGCTCTGTCCCAAACTTTTAAATACCACCAGTCTGTTCACCTTGGTTTGAATGCTGTTCCTTCACCCCATGGAGACAAAAGAAAACATGCCTGCAGGACTGACGTGGTGTGTGGGCCGATTTGGGCTTCTAGTATCTGGAGCAGTATGAGAACCACTGTTCTTGAGCAAAGGCCATCCCTTTTGCATAAAATAAATCTTGGGGGGATAGTTAGATAATTTAGGAAGGTCCTATCTAAGCGGGCAGGAAGACAGTTTAAGCTTGAATTGCATATGCTTTGCTTCTTTACGATGAAATGTTTGGGGTCGTCTTTCCACCAGATTACCTTTTAAGAATAAAGGCCTCCGTGTTGACAAGTGTTACTATCCGGTGTGTATTTTTTTGTTTTCAGCCTGGTTCGTGCAGTAATTTAAATTCATTTTACAGAGAGAGGAGTGGTGGGGACTTGGAAGGAGATGACCTCGGCAGCTAGTGTTGGAATCTGAGAAGGGAGTCATGCGATGGGGGAGACCAGACAGAAGGGGCCGGGATTGGTTTTGTGGAACCGAGGAAAGACTTGACCGAGCCCATATTTACTCTTTGCTTTGTAGTTTGAAATGTTGAGAAAGAAAAACAGCTGGTTGGAGCTTCGAGTTAAAATTGCTCTAACGGGGGGATTCTGAGAGTGCAGAAACCACAAGAGAGACTGCAGAAACCACAGAAGTGGAACTCTGTTGAGTTTCCCGCAGGGCTGCGCTGGAGATTTTCGTCTTCTTGCTCTGTATGTTTGTGTTGGAAGAGTTTGCTGCTGGGAGTGTGATACAGAGGAATTATTAAGCCCTAATTTTGGTGTCTATTCACAGGACCGGTAATTATCCAGAGTGAACATTGGTGTTTTGGCCAAAACTTGGGTCCTTTTCTTTCCTCCCTCTTTTCTTTCTTTCTGAGGCCCAGTCGAGCTCTATCTGAATAGCGCCGTGAGTTCGGTGGGGGGAGATAAATTGTTAACTAACGGAGGAGCACAAAAGGAGCTTTGTGGGTGCTGTCAATTCATAAATCACACCCTCTTACAAGTGTGACACTTGGCCTTGGTGTGAAGGGTTTTATGGCCTAAAGGCCTTCCCTGATTGAGGCGGGTCTTTTACATTCAAATGGGGAGAGCGGCCAGCTTTGTTAGCCCTTCACAGCTGGAAGTTTCCCTTGAGTCGGTACTGGTGGTGCCCACTGGGGCAGATCTGGAAACCCCTTCGGGGGGCCACTTTAGCGAGCTATGAGGAGAATGCGGGCGGCCCTGGTAGGCCCCCGGTGGCCTTCGCGTACCATTCTTAGGGCTCTTCAGTCACAGGGCTCCTCGTGCAGCCTCTTCCCACAGGGGCCGAATCTGAAGGTATCAAAATATTCCCCAGCTGACATTGTTAGTCAGCTGTTTCACTTGGACAATGCAGGCCTGGATTCCAGCCCCGAGCCCTGAAGGTTGTGAGGCATGCGGTGCATTCCTCACTACGGTCCCTGGGTCCCTGGGATTCCGAACCTTGCCTTTGTGCCACCTCACCGAGCCCCCGAGAGCGCCGTGGAAGGACCCGCTCTGACCGGTGGGGCTGCTGCTTCGCCACCGCAGTTTGGGCAGAGTCCGCTCCGTGATCTCGAAGTTGTCTTCCAACTCAAAAATTCCTTGATTGAGGTTATGCCCTTTTGCCTAAATTGTACAGAATAAGTAGTTGGGTTATGCTCAAAGTGCAGGATGGGGGCGGGGAGGCAACCACTTCCTGTTTCCTGCGAAAGGTTTCTGGTTAGGGTTCCCTCCCACCCCC